TGGCTGCTGTCTCCATCTGCAGTGATTATGGAGCCCAAGAAAGTAAAATCTGTCACTGCCTCCATATCTTCCCCTTCTATTTGCCAGGACGTGATGGAGCCAGTGGCCATGATCTTAATTTTTTTGATGTTGAGTTTCAGACGTTTTTTGCATTCTCCTCTTTCACCCTCATTACAAGGTTCTTTAGTTCCTCCTCACTTTCTGCCATCAGAGTGGTATCATCTGCGTATCGGAGGTTGTTGATATTCCTTCCGGCAATCTTAATTCCGGCTTGGGATTCCTCCAGTCCAGCCTTCCGCATGATGTATTCTGCATATAAATTAAATAAGCCGGGGGACAATATACAGCCTTCTCGGACTCCTTTCCCCATTTTGAACCAATCAGTTGTTCCATATCCAGTTCTAACTGTTGCTTCCTGTCCCATGTATAGGTTTCTCAGGAGATGGATAAGGTGGTCAGGCACTCCCATTTCTTTAAGGACTTACCATAAAGGACTTCCCATAAACATTACTTTCCCCCATATCAGACTGCCATGCTGGTGGATCAACATTTGACAATCAGTTCAAATGCCATCCCAGAAGTGAAGCTGGTAGTAAGCAGTGAAAGAAAGAGCCGTTTAAATATGGCACCCTGTCTGTGGAACAACTCTCCTCAGAGAGACGTACTTGGTTATTTACTTTTTCTTCTTTGCCCCGATTTTATGTAATTTGCTATTCTTCTGTATTTTTATTCTTTAAGATCATAAACTTTCCTGGAACAGTTCCGTTCAGCTTTTGGAGCAGTTGAACTGTGACATGAGTTATTTAAGGTTAGAGGAACTGTGGTCTGAATTATTTTCTTTCAGTAAGTAAAATACTGGATCTAAATGTATCAGGCAAAAACAAAATAAAAATAAAAAATAAAGAAGACAAAAATTGTTTGGCACTTTAAAGACTAACTGCTATATTTTAATATGAGCTTTCATGAAAAAGTCCACTTCCTCAGACTTGGTCTCTTATTTTTGCCTGATACGTGAGCGTGGACTAACAAGACTACCTCTTCTAAAACTGTTTATATGTATTGTTGTGAGGAGGTTACGCCTGGCATCCTTAGCAAAGCATTGGCCTCCACCCCAGACACCCAGGCCAGAAACTCAGAGCTGGCTAATGCCGGCTCTGAGTCAGGCATAGGACCTGAGCGAAGAAGCTGCTGCTAAGGAGAATCACCTGGAAGAGAGCAGGGGCTTTCTTACAGCTTACTACCTGTAAGGGATGCCCTTGTAGAGGCTAAAGAGGAGGTGGTGAGAACACGGAGGAGGCTGGAACACAGGTGCTGAGTTCTTGAACCTGGAGGAGGAAGGGGCTTGGGGGGAAAAGGAAGTTAAACACAGAAGAAGTACTAGAGCCTGAAAGTAATTGGGATGATATCTACCACAAGGACCCCTTGACAAGCTCCACATGCCCCAAAGGCAAGGCAGTCTATTTGCAGGAGAAAGTCTGAACAGCCACACCCAACCTTGTTGGCATGACCACTAGCATCAGCCAGCATCAGACTAAGCATGTCTCATGCCTACCCATAGACAATGCTGGAGGCAAAAAAAGGCAGAAGGAATGCCAGCAGTGCCTCCAGTAGCAACACCAACTGCCTCCATCATTGCAACACCAGACTCTGCCAAGCCCCAAGCTTTGCCCTTTCTGCAGGCTTATAAACCAATCGTTCTTCAGTCTGCCATAGAGGTCTCTAATAAAGGTCATTAGAGACTCATCGGCCCCAATAAAATTAACTTGGGCTTTGGAAAGAACAGAGACTATGTAGGGGCAAGTGACATCAACTTCACTGCTATGGCAAGCAACAGGAATGGTGCAAACTCCTGCAGTTGTTGTTTTCCCTTCCCTGGTTCCAATAAACTGCATTGAGCTTAAACTAGACTGTGTGGACTTGATGGATATGGACATGGTGGAGGGGCTACCCACTGATTCAGCCAGGGGTTGGTGCAGCAGGGCTCACAATTGTTGATGTAGGTTTTTTTTTCCTTTTTTAGAAGTGCTCAGGAACAGCTCAGAAATTGTTTTTGATAGGTGAAACCTTTTAGTAAAGTGTATGATAATAACCTTAAGGAAATCTAGGATTATGATAAATCAAACTGTAACCCAGCTGTTGACTATGCTTTCTCCAATTATTTAGATAAACCTAGGTATTTTAAATCCATTCTTTCTATTTGCTGCCTGAGCTTGTACATAGATACTGATCAAAATCCTGTTGCATAGAGTAAATTGCACCAGAGTAGGCCGGTTGACCCAATGGTGATTTAGTGAGGCAACTCCTCCCTAAATTCCATTGATTTAAATTGGCCTATTCTAACTGCAGCTTACTGTGCTAAGGTAAATTGCAGTTAGAGTAGACCCATTTGAAGCAATAGAACTATGAAGTTGAGTCACCAAATTCCCCATTGATTTAGTAGGTCTACTCTAGTGCAATTTACTATGCTAAGCAACAGGATTTTGGCCACTGATTATTTTATTTGAGTGACATCTATGTGAAAAAGAGTTTGTATGAAAAATACAGAGAAAGCTAAAACTTTTATTAATTGGTTTGAATAATAAAAGAACTACATGAGAAGTCTCAGGTATTTATTCATTTATTTTAAAATTTTATGAAGTATACCTTCATTTAAAGCAGTATACATGACATCAATTCAATGTTAAAAAAGAAACATTAAAAAACAATACAAACAATTATATTTTACTAGCTAAAATCCTGTTACTTAGTCTAGTAAGTTGCAACTAGAATAGGGCCAGTGAATCAGTGGGGATTTGGCAAGTCAACGCTTCTGTAAATTCCATTAGTTCAAAAGGCCTACTCCAGCTGCAACTTGCTTAGATAGTAAGCTGCAACTGGAATAGGGTCATTGAATCAATGAAACATGCAGGAGCTGACTTGCCAATTTTTTATTGATTCAATGAGCCGCATGGCACAGTGGTTAAACTGCAGTACTGCAATGAAGTTCACAACCAGAGTTTAATCCAGGGCTCAGGTAGTTGGCTCAAAGTTGACTTAGCCTTCCAAGGTTGGTAAACTGGGTACACAGCTTGCTGGGTAAGTGGGAGGACAGTATGTAGCCTGTATAAACTGTAAATGCCCAGAAACAGGTTTAAACACTATGGGGCAGTACATAAGCAGCACACTTTGCTTACTCTGGTTGTGATCTATTAAACTAATGGATTTCATCTTTATCTCCTGTTTTCTCTTTATGTTTACTCACCCAGTTTCTCTTCCCTTACATAACCACACACAGAATCCTTCTCTCTCCCACCCTGGTGGTCCTTCTATTTACCACTACTCTTTTTCCCTGCTACCCTGACAACTCCTTTCTATTCTCGGTGGTCTTTTTCTCCCTCTACTCTGGTGCTTATTCAGCAGCATTCATTCTTTCAACAATCTGAACATTTCTAGTTAGGGGAGACTGCTACCTGGTCAGTGAAAACGGCAGTTCACACCACAGAAAGATTTAGATTAAATTAATCTGTTGATTTAAAAATAATAATAATTCTGAGATGAACACCTAAACTATCCTCAGCATGCATGTCATTTTCCAGGTGTATAAGTCTTGAAACTAAGACTTAGTCTTGAAACTATGGATAAAACAGACACTACTTCTATAGGCAAGTAAAAGTATCTAGCTGTGGAAGAGTTTAATGGCAAAATTCCTGTGGCATATTTTGATTGCAAATTTATTCACAGCATCACTTAATGCTTTGGTGTATCTCATGACTTGCGGAACAAACAACCGCCATTCCACAATGAACTGGATCGCCATCAAATGCCTTCTTTGAGAGTGAACTCTAGACAGTGATTTGACTGGCAGATATCTTACACATCTTTGCATACATATCAAGTCAAAATACTGTAATGCTAAATGAAGCTTCTTTATGTACATAAAATTCACCATGTATTCTTATATCAATTATACATTTGCTAGCATTAATATTCTAAAAAAAAAAATAACAGTTGCTCTTAATGTCCCATGTTGGCTTTTGATTAAAAGCAGCATCCACTTTTCTTTTTAGGTGGCACTAACTTCAGAATTTCCTGCTTGAACTGTTCTTCATGGGTTTTCAGCAACCTGAGGTTATAAACATTGAAATGAACAGGCTTTTTTACTATTCTGTAGAAATCCAAAAGGTTTTCAAAAGTTTGTAATACTAGAAATGCTATATATTTTATCCAGAAAGTATTTTTTCCCTGAAGATATTCTATGACTTATGGTAATGTTTGTATGGAATTATGAACACTATATGCATACTTTGGTTATCATTGTAATGTTCTTTGGAACAAAGGGGAAAAGCCTCCTTTACCTTCCCCTGCCCATGCTACAGTATTTGGTGAATTTTTCGCAGTAAATTGCATTTATTTTTGTTAGAAGTGGTGAATGGTGCAATGATGCTTTGGATGGAAGACCTAATGCTCTTAGGAATAATGTCAGTTCCTTTCCCCAGCCTCATAGCTCTTTCCAAGGAATGCAGCAAACTAGTACTGTGTCCCAGGTAACTACCCAATCATCAGATGGAGTTTTTTTTCAACAAGGTTTACTTCCTTTATTTATCCCCTTTAATCAGACCCAATCTAGCTCCTACATTCATTCTTTTAATTTTAATTTTTAAATTCCTGTGGCTAATTCAACACACTTTTAAGGACATTTTTGAGAAGCTTCTATCGCCCTAACATTTCAGGGATCAAAGGGTTGGTGCTTTCTGAACAGAAGGTATTTGATCCATTAGAGCAGTGGTGGGCAAAGTGTTGCTCCAGCCAGCACAACCTAATGCCCCAAAATAACAGTTTATCCAAACAGGATGCTTCTAGCCACCTCTAGCTTATGTTGTTGTTAGTTTTAGTTTTTACTTGCGGACAGTATTTTTGGTAGCCAGTGCAACCTCTAGAAGGTTGTAAAGGCAGAAATTTGAACCTGGCGCCACTGAAGTTGTCCATCCTAGTAGAGGAACCTGCTGGTGGAAAGTGGAACGTGATTTTTACTGATTCCCACTTCATTTGCCAACTCAGGTGTTATCATTCATCCTGCTTTTCATAATTCTTCAACCTTCCAGAGCAGATTTTTGGCAGGCTCATGAAATTGTAAAGGGTAGGAGAGTCAGAGAAAAGTAGCACCTCCTGAGAAAAATTCTACATTGACATTTATTTTTCAAGCATTTCCCAGCAGCTATTTGCCACACAGACACAAAGAAAAGCCTCATTATCCTATTTCTGATAATGTGGAAATGTCAATAATCTAACTCTCAGGTCTATATATATAATTGAATTCTAGACTGGTGTAGCTACCATGTCACTTTTCAGTAAAACTGCACTAATTCACACTCTAATATGAAAGTGAGTACTTCACTTGCTGCAGTTTTGTGGATGCTGTTTTAAATGAAACACTGATTTATTTTCAGTTCCACACATTAATATGTTAGTGTCCAGTACATGAAGAAATGCTGAGATCAATTACTCACCTGGCTAATTTGACCATTGATTCAGTCACGTTGTGACCTGAGGCTGCACTGCATTCACAAAATGAAAGTCCATACTCCTGGCATTAAAGTATAATAAATCATAATGACATAACCAAAACATGCTTTCTATAACAGCAGTAGTTACCAAATTTTGTACAGTATTCAGTCCTGAAGACATAACTCATCTTTCAGGACCACTTCCTTATCTGGAAGGTACACATTTGGAATTAAGCATTATCAAAACACTTTTATTTCTGGTTTGTTTGTTTATTTATTTAATTCATTCATTCATTCATTCATTCATTCATTCATTCATTCATTCATTCATTCATTCATTCATTCATTCATTCATTTATTTGGTGTTTACCCCACCCATCTAGATTCAAACGAATGTACTCTGGGCGGCTTACAGTCCAAGCAATATAAAACAAGAATTAAAACAGACAATATCCCCCCAAAAAAGAAGGAAAGAAAGAAAGCTAAGCAAAATCCAAGATGGAAAAACACAGGGAACTAGGTGATGGATGGGGGAAGGCCTGCCTGAAGAACCAAGTCTTCAGCTTGTTCTTAAAAACTCCCAGCAAAGGTGCCAGGCAAATCTCAGGAGGCAAGATGTTATAGAGTTGAGGGGCCACCACTGAGAACTCCTGGTTTCTAGTTCTCTCCTTCAAGGCCTCTCTCGGGGTCCAACCACCCAGCCTGGCTAAATCAAGTGAGACGAGTAGAGCTAGGTGGGAGCAGGCGCTCTGCCAGGTAACTGGGGTAGGTCATTTGCTCTTAAGATAAAGAACCAAGAGGAAGATGATGTTACCATTATGTAGTCATCACTTTCCGCTCACAGTTCCTAGTTATCTGTATTTATTTGCTCCTGGGCAGATTTGTAAAATCAGCTTGAAAACATCAACCTTATTATTCTGATTTTTGTCTGATTTTACCTGAGTGGAGAAGGAAACATTCAGATCAGACAAGAATGCATGTGTGTACCTTGGCTAAGGATTCACCATCATTTACAGATATTCTCCTTTCGGCAGTGTAATCTGTTTTGTTACCAAGCAGAAGGACAATCACGCCATTCTCTGCTCCTTCCTGCAAAGAAACATTTATTTCTTCTTCAAATATTAAATAAAGTCAACACATCTCATATGAACCTAATGACAGTGATACAAGATAATCTTGAGCCTTAAGCTAGCCCACTGGTCCTTAAGATAATCTTGAATCCTCAGATCCTGAGGAAATTTTCCTTCAGACTCCTGAGATCTGGGTTCAGAAGCCCCCACCACTAAGCTTTTCCCAAAAGCTCTAGTGAGGAACCAAACTTCTTTGCCACAAACCTCTGTCTAAAAGGTACCCTTGACTCAAGAAAAATTCTTTTTAAAATCAGCCTTGACTGGAGTTCTTCGAGGCCAAATTCAGGCTTCACTGGATTCCTTCGTATCCCACCGCTGCCACCAATTGTGGCATCCACCCTTGTGCCCCTTGCTTGACAGTCATGCCTCAGAGCACACGGAGGCAAACAATCCCCTCTTTTACACTGCTGCCACCAGGTGATCACTAAATCACCATTGCTTCAGGAAGATTCAGGTCCACACTTCAAGGTCTTTTAAATATAACTTTTGCTTATTGATTACAGTTATTGATAGTGATTCATGGATGTCTTCTTTAAATCAATTTATTATTAACAATCTTCTATCTGATAATACACTCCTAACTCTAATTACACCTCAGAATTCCCCAAACTTCACACTCTATCCCCTTCTCTCACACTCCACTCTTACCGACTGTTACTCTTACTGACTGACCCTGACTCCACCTCTTATAGCATCTCTCTCATCTCCACCTCTCAGAAACATGAATATGCATGAACAATTACATAACAAAATATGAACCATTGACCTAATAAATGGGGAAGGCTACAGCTGTATCTAGGATAAGGTATGAAGTAATTCCTAATAGTGTCTGACCATTAAGGAAATAATGTTTTAATGTTTATTTCCCTTAGAATATGAAAATACGTTTAAGTCTTTTTTCCTTTCTCTCTCTCTCTCTCTCTCTCTAAGTCATCTTTACATTGTTTCTTTGGAAGCATGCGTTGCATTGTCTTGGCTGTTAAGTTTGTAGGGTGAGCAGTAGCTTCCCTATATCTTATTAAATATAACGGGAATCCTGGGAGACTAATCATGATCAATCCCATTTTACAGATGGAAGAACTGAAAATGTCTTGCCCATGAAATCCCAAATTTTATGCCTTGTGCTGCAAATACTGTAATGAGTTGAAGCCCCGTAATTAGCCTTGTTCTCTAAAATCAGATGTGATCAGCCATAATGTTACACATGCCTGAATCTTATTAAATATAACAGGAATCCTGGGAGACTAATCATGATCAATCCCATTTTACAGATGGAAGAACTGAAAATGTCTTGCCCATGAAATCCCAAATTTTATGCCTTGTGCTGCAAATACTGTAATGAGTTGAAGCCCCGTAATTAGCCTTGTTCTCTAAAATCAGATGTGATCAGCCATAATGTTACACATGCCTGAATGCAGTGTCAGTTATTTCTGATTAAGCGCACAGGATCATTTTACGATACCTGCAAATATGTTTTTGCAGCTGATGGTAAGCTTTCCTACAGTGATTAAGAGACAAAGAAAAGTCTAAAGCTTAATCAGTAATGGAACAGAGCTGCTATCCTTACCTGTATACAGTTCAGCCAATACTTCACATTTGCAAAACTATGTTCTGAGGAAATGTCATACATCAGCACAATTCCATCAGCCTTTCGGAAGAACTGCTTAGTGAGACTGTGATACCTGTCAGGGGAAAAGGTGGTGTGTTTTTTTTCCCCCATAATATTTCAGTCATAATATTTCAACCAGTTACGTTTCAGCTTTCAATTGAAATGAACAGACCTCAGAGCATTACATCTTAAACAGAACTCCATGCAGTTTTCATTGCTTCTCAGTGGCCAAGTTGCCATCATTGTTACTCTGGTTTTACAAGTACAGGTAATTTATCCTTTTAAAGGACAATTAATGGTATTTTTATACCAACCCTAAAGTTTCTTTTTTTCCTTTAAAAGGTGACAAAAAAGTAATGAGTAGAACAACAAATAATTCAGTGGCTGAGATCCTGACTTACCTGAACATGGTAAATTGCAACTAGAGTGTAGGCCCCTTTAATTGAATTGAACTTATGGACGAGTTGATACAATTTATCAATTCAGTGGGTCTTATCTAGTGCAATTTACTGCGCCAACAAACAGGTTTTCAGCCATTAACCTAGTTTTTCAACATTGTAACAGGTAACAATGGATTATTTTTCAAACAGTGCCTGAAATCCAGTAACAAAGTTACGCTACATAAACTGATGATGTCATCAGCTAAAAATATTCCTATCCCCACAACCCAGGGTCCTAGGCTTCCTTAGAATCTCTTTGGTTCTACAGAAGCTTTTGGAGACAGCAGGACTGGGAAGAGTCTGAAATATCAGAAAATTGGTGCCACCGATCCCAGCAGTTATAGAAGGACTGCTGGCAGTGATTTTCAGATATTTAAGACTCTTCCCCTTCATGCTATCTCAAGGACCAAAGAGATCCTAAGGGAGCCTAGGAATTGGGGTTGGGGGTGGGGATAGGAAACTTTTTAACGAAGTGTGGCCGCAGCTGACAAAGTCATCAGGCTTACACAGCATAACTTTATGTTACTGAATTTCAGCCACAGTAGTGAGTAATAAGAGCTAATAACTTTTTAAAAGTTGCTTTCAAAGCTCTTGTGTGGATCATCCAACATCTTCCTAGGCACAACAACTGTTTCAAAGTGATCGAGAGCAGAATTTTCCCATTAAAATGGGTGCCTATGTAACAACTCAAGGAGCAAACATCTTTGCCTAAATACTAACCAGCCACCCATGTCTTGGTTGTACACATTTAAAGTGAGTTTCCTTGAGGACATAGTACCACGTGCATTATAGGATTGTATATTTCTTTATTTTTTAAAAAATCTACACTTATAGTCACTGAAACTTTACTTGTTTTGCACTTCCTGAGACTACCTTTCTTGGCCAGCTGTGTCCCATAGTTGTAAAGCAAACCACTTGTCATCCACAAAGAGGTTTTTGATCCGATAGTCAATTCCTAGGGAAGACAATAAAATTTAGATCATGCTCCCAACTGCTTCAAAGAACCAATGAGCAAAACTGGTGCTTTTTAAAGAATCAAATGCGGTGAGCCTCTCTTGTGTACATCATCAGTGACATTTTGCAGAAAATGATTAGAATCAAAGATAACACCACACTTGTTCAGTATTATTATCATCTAAATTTTGGTGGAAGAAAACTTGATATGGAGGAGTCGTGCCAGAGCATTGTTGTTGTTGTTTTTGTTTTTAGGAGGCTTGGTAAAAACAATGATGACCTGTGCCCCACCAACCCCACTATAATTCATTATTCAGTTCATTCAGTTTTGTAAACCATGAAAAAATGTCTTCTGTTTCTAAGGGGTTTGTAAATAATCTACATTTCTGAACACCCCTCCCACCTTTTCTACTTTTGTTTAATAATAACACTCAGCCCGAGAGTCCTACAAGTTCACTATTTTGTATCTTAATAAAGGAATTTCTCCATCAATGTCTTGTGTTATTTGTTTTATGGGATCAGCATGGCTGTAAATATTAGGCCAATTAATTTTAAGGGTTTGTCTTTTGGCTGGGCAGTGGGGTCCATTACGAAATCATGAATTAGCCACCCAAAACCAACTCTCTTAATAAGTTCACATTCAATGGACATGATGGTCAGCTGCTTTAACAAAGCGCAAGGAAATAACTTCCTATACTCTCAGGCAAGTTCTCTAGTTTATCATTTGTCTTTTCTTCATATAATGGGGATTGAAGCCTGGGACAGAATCTTCTGGACCGCCAAACTCCAATTAAGTCTATCCACCCTGTCCAATGTAGGGGGGACCCTGAAGAAGTGAATCTGACTTCCTTCCATGTTAGTGTTGATCATTGCTAAACAGGCACATGCAAACACAGAAAAGAGTGCAGTCAAACTCACTCAAGCTCAACAATATGATTAACACATCATTTGAAGTAGAGTTAACTTTGTTTTCGTGTCTGAATACTGAGGCACATGGCTCTGAAAGATTTGTGTGCCTGAATGGATAGCAAGAAGAGAAAATAACTCATTTGCCTTAACATGTGCAATCTGACCTTAAAAGTCTCTGCTAAAAAGAAATGAGAGAGAAATGCCATTATAGAGGGAGTACTTGTCTTCAGCTGTAACATATTCTTTTGAAATTCTACACAGCTCAAACTAGGAACATCGGTGGCTTCTGCAACCCTTAAGAGCATCAACACAGCAAGCAAAGAGGAGCTCTTCTCATGAGACAGCCCCCATTTAGGAGGCAGAAGATTAACACAAGAGCTCTTCTGCCTTGAATAGGCCTAATTCCCTAAAGTCTGATTACCTTCCAAAGGGATGATGTTGGAATCAGAAGGAATGTTGGGGAAAGGAATTGCCAATAGAACTGCATGAGGAGAGGAACTGCTTTGTGACCATGGCTTCCATGTACAGTATAGAAATTCACTAGCTTCATTTGGGACTGGTGTGGGATAGTGAGAATGGCAGGGCCAGAACCACAACACAGCATTTCTGGACATCTGACAAGGCTGACGTCCTTGCAATGGCTCACGGGCATCCCCCAGAGTCACAACTTGGCAGCAACAACTCACAAGTAATGTAGCTGCTTGCGATGAGTTACTTTGCTTTGTAATGCAGGGGCAACAAAGTTTTGTTTTAAAAGTAATGGCCAAAGTCCTCTTCAAAGTAGATAAAGTGTAATGTTCCATGCATGGAGTTTCTGCATGATATCCAGCTTAAAATACTGCCAGTGGAGATTGCTCCGTTTAAGGCAAGAATGGAACTAATTGAACTAATGGAAACAACTTTATTCTCTTGATGTACTTTTAATATCATATCTAAAGGCAGATCTAAAAGTGTTTCAACAACAATTTTATACCATTCATTTTTTAAAAGTTTTCTAAAGTGCTGTGGTCTTAAGTTTGCAAGACCTTTTGGATGTCATGGATTTAGAGGGTCACCAAAGAGAGAACAAAGCAACATAACGACAATAATGACAGAAGGTGGTTTAGCTCAGTGGAGTTAAAATTTTGACTGTGCCTTTCATTAAAAAAGCCAGCCATGATCATCCAGGGGATAGGTGACTGATGAGATTATGTCCCCCTAAGACTTGGGTGGCCTTGGACAACCCACACAGTCCCTAAGTGCCACCAGAATGAGGGTATGGTAAGCCACTGATGAGTACTTTTTATTTAGAAAAGCCTATGAGTATTGTCATAAGTTGAAATTGATCTGGTGACACAGTTATTACAATGCCATGAGTAGCATAATGAGTTACTCTTTAAGCAGTGCCATCACAAGGGAACAAGTTATTTTTAAAAATGTGACATTTTAAATTCTGCCCAGATGTTCCAGACCCTGCTGCTCCTGTGTCTTACCACCTGCCTTCCTATCTGAGCATGTGATCCATAACAAGAACAGAGAAAACACACAGTAACATCTTTCTGCCTTGCATTCTGCCTCTGGGCCTACAGATTAAGCCCATAGCAAAATAAGGGAGCAAAGGATAAAGGGTTAGAAGAACAAGAGGATGGAAGAAGCCCACTTAACGGGAGCCCACAGTGGACATTTTGTTTGAGCCCCTCTCTCCCCGTGGCATTAATGCTTGGAGACTCTGTTTATACCTCTATGGTTATTGATATGGCTCATATGACATTAATGCTTGGAGACTCTATACCTCTATGGTTATTGATATGGCTCATTATTTACCACTTGTCAACATTTGGATTTTTTTTTTAAAAAAAAAACAGCCTTAACAACAATCTGTGGGGCAGAAAAATCTAAATTGTACTGTAATTTTTTGTTGCAGAATTTTTTGTAAAATTTTCCCAAAAGCAGACCTACAACATAAGGACGTGACCAAATGGGGAAACTGACTGCATTTTAAACTGCTTTCCTGGTGATTGCACAATGTCCAGGGAATTGTACTCCAGCCCAATCCTGATATGTGCCCAAGCTGGACCTTTTGTTGTTGTTCCAGCTGTAGGACTACTGTTTCTGGGAGCCAGACTGAAGTGGTTCCCCAACAGACAGAAGGAGTCACTTTAAGAGAGATCACTCTCTGCAAAGTGATCTTTTCCTGTGCAACCACATAATTGGTTTTCCAGCCATCTGATTGCACCCAAGGGCATTGTCACATGCTCAGCAATAAATTGGATCACCAAATTTGAGTTGCATGCCCATTTTCTTTTTGTAAACAAACAAAATTAAGATATAACATCTCAAGAAATCTCTGATTTTGCTGTTGGGTTGCTCTTTTGTCCCAGCCAACATCAACTGTTGAATAAATGTTTTCAAACAAAACCTGCTCCAGAGAAGCAAGTGTCCTTATGAAAGTTTATTTCTGTAAGCAGAAGACAAACCAATGCAAAAAAGCACCCAAGAAACAGTGTTTTTGGGTTACTTTTCTGCTCCAACCTGTGAAAGATGTTTAGGTGGGGGGTGAGGCAAACACAAACTAACCCATAGAAGCAAAACCGAGTGCTTTTCTTTTATCACATGGTTTTGTTTTGTGTGAACATAAGATACAGTACATTGGAATTTAGCTTGATTTTGTAAAATGCTATAAAATCCAGTTAAACGACTAAACGAAATGATAAAATCCAGTAATGTTAGGTTTTGTTTTTATCATTCTCAGCTGAGATTTAAAATTAATAATGGGTTTTAACTTACCCTTCAGCCCTCACTTGATACTTCTCACACCAGATCATGCCTATCTTTATATTTAAAGATAATGAGGCCTTTGAAGAAACACTATTTAATTATGGGGTTAGAGACAATTAGCTGTTTATAGCCTCCCTGGTGCATTTTGCACTTTAAAGTTAAAGCTTCCTGCTGTTGTCTCCACCATCATATAGGTAAGTAACTAGCTTTTTATATGTGCTTTTAACCTGGTGCTTTAGAGTAACTTTAAAGAGTTACTGACACACACTTTTCTGTAGACAGGTCTGAGAGAAGACTGATCAAAAGAAAAGTAAAGAAACAGACAAGGAGAAACCAGGCTTCCTGAGAGCAAAGCCTAGGCAATTCACCCCATGGATCATGTTGCCTTACAGTGTAAGATGATGGATTTGTTTCACACCTACAGTGGCAGTCACATTTGTGCCAGCTGAGCCATCCTGTAACCTGCACAGAAAGGAGGTTTTGCCAACATTAGTGTCTCCCACAAAGAGGATGTTGTATAAGTGGTCTGGATGAGGGCTGAGAACTCTGGTGCCTTGAGATGTCTCTTTCATCACTTGGCAATCCCAGCCTTCGGGAGTAAGTTTTGTTTCCTCGTCCATTACTGCTTTGACTTCTTGATTCTTTTTAAACTCGGAGAGATAAATCCTCCCTTCTTTTCTCTTCTCCGATAATGGTCCTTCCAGCAACTCAGTGGTACATGCCTGCATTTCCAGGTCCGGCATATTCTTGAACTGGCCATTGTGGACATGCAAAGTTTCAGATTTAAGGCCCACATGCAGTCTGAGTAAAGTTGTTCTAGATGGGAAGCGAACTGTTACCACATCTTTCACTGGAGTGGATGATGGTATCTTTGTAGCCAATGTTTTCATTGCTGGAGATGGCTTTTTCTCTCCCTGCTCTGAATCAGTAGATAGCTCTTGCATCTTGATATTACTGCTCTTTACAGCTTGTTTGTGGCTTTCATGCTGGATCAGTGCCTGTGATGAAGCCAGAATGTCCCTTTGTAGTTGGCCCTCTTTGTAGTTGTGGAGGTCAGCTGTCCAACCTGAATAAAGAGGATATTGAATTCCAGGAGGAGGAGGCTTCATTTCTGGAGTTGGCACTGGAGTTCTGGCTTCCATTCTTGGCTCAAAAACATGACTGTTCTTCATCTCCAGAGCACCATCTCGTACATAAGTTGATGCTTCTTTCAAAAGAACCTCTCTTTGAAATGTAGCCTGGCTTGTGAGAGTTTCAGAAATCCTTTTCTCCCTGACATAATTTTTTGTCAAACCTCCATTCTGAGGTAGATTTTGCTGTATGGCACTTTGCTGAGAATTTTCATTTTGTCTCATTTTGCCCATAAGCTCCTCTCCTTGGAAACCAAAGTCACCTGTTGGTTGTTCATGTGATTCGTCAGACACCCTGCTCATTGCTGCCATTGCCTCGTTCAGCTCTTTAAACAAAGAGCTTTGGCCTGAAGGCTCCTGTGGGCAGTACTGCTGTTCTCCAACACAGTCGGCCACAGGATCCTCTTCAATGGAAATCACTCTTGTTCTAGACACTGAGGCAGCTGTGGTCACTGATGTCAAATCATCAGATGCCCTGTGGGGAAAAGATGCATATGACAGGGCTCATTTGATATGCAATACAGATGAACAACATATTGCCTGTGGGCCACATTGGGTTCCCAGGGCATTTTCTACCCCTTATGCCCCCCCCATGTTAAAAAAAAAACTGAGGAGGGAGGAATTGCTTAGAAAGTCTGAAGCACGAGGGACTTTTTCCCCCATGTTTCAGAAATTAATTCATATCCCCCCAAATTATTTTAACATTTAAAAAGAAATATTTGGGGGCTACGAAAGGGCACAGGGAGGCTGATTAAGTTAAAGAACCCTCTTTTTAAAAGTAGTCCCATCTTTTCATTTTTAAAAATACCATTGTAGCAAACTTTAGGAACAGCAGCAGCAGCAGCAGCAGCAGCAGCAACAACAACAACAACAACAACAACAACAGTAAATCTGTCTCTTTGGCCCTCCTTCTTTATTCCCTTCTTTTTGGATGTTTAGCCTTCAGGTTGTTGACAAATACATAAAAATGGCCCTCAGCCCTACTGAGATCTCAAAGCATCTCTTTGGTTCCAGTGTGCTCTGCAAAGATGCATCTGGAATTCCAGATGCAGCACATGCAGGAGTTGACAAGATGGTCAGAGAGCACTCATGGCTGCCAGTGTGCTAGAACAAGGGCCCAGTCATAATTACAGCTCTCTTTTCAATCCCATTGTCATATAAACATGGCCATAGACAGATTTTAGTGGCTTACTATGGAGCAAAGCTGCCCTGTGTGTCTATGTCCAGACTGTAATGGTTGATCTCCAGTTGAGAGCAGACTGTCTTGTTTATGTCTTTGGAGTGGAAAATTGAATCACTCGTGCAGAAAAGAGCAGTACGATAACTTGCCTTCAAAGGAGATTGCCTGTTGACCCTATGATTTGCTACTCTGAGTGTGCCCCCATCAGGAGGCATACTCAGAACTCCAGCTCATGCAGAAACATAGGGAACAGGTTCTTCTAAAAGCTGGCTTCTAAGAAGGCAATCCTTACCTGGAAATAAGCACCATCAAACTCATTTGGGCTTCCAAACAGAGATGAGCATGAACTGCTTGTTCAACGGTTCAGTGCAGTTCATTTCCTGGCCAAACAGCTGACCTGTGCTTCAATGCCCCACTCCATCCAATGAGTGCCCCCGTTGAGCAGCAATGCCCTGCTCCCTCCTCCAGGCACTGTCTCTGAATTGGGTGGCTGCTGGAAGGGGCAGGGTGCTGAAGTGCAGATTTGCTGTTCAGCCAGGAAACGAACCATGCTGAACTACTGAACCAGCAGTTTCTGTTCATCTCTACATCCCAATAAATGTGTCTAGGATTTGTGCTCATCCTGCAAAGCAGATCTGAAGTTCCAAGTGGAATGGGACCCCAATTTCAATTCACAAGAAAATTATGTGCCTTGAGTATTGTTGATGTGGGACACTTCTACCGCCCAGCTTGACAGTTGGTTAGCACCCTCAAGCAGCTGATTTGAGGTGAAATGAAAGAGAATCGATCTGAAAATGTTTCTTGATTTTTATTATATTTTTTACCCCTAGGTAGATATACTTGTAGATATTTCTTCCTTAATAATCATGTACTGTCAAGTTAATTCTGACTTATGGTTACCCTTCTCAGGGTATTCAAGGTACAAAATACTAAGAGTACTGTGACGGCACTTCCTGGGGGGTGGTGGAAAGTGGAAGTGGCTGAGTCAGCCAAGGGGAAGTACCTTTGGACTGGAAAGAAGCCTGTGGGAACCTTCCTCCAGGGATCTGGCTCTGGAAACAGAGAAACATTGGGTGTGCAGGCATTGCTGCTTTCTACACAGATAGCCATTCACTGGCTTTGTAGGCACAAAAGCCCAGTTGCGGTAATACCTTTGTTTGTTTGTTTGTTTGTTTGTTTGTTTGTTTGTTTGTTTGTTTGTTTGTTTAATACCTGTCCCACTTTTCTTCCAGAATAGGGATTCAAGGCAGCTCACAGAGAGTTAAAAGCATGTACAATTAAACACATAATAAGGGCCTGATCACACAAGCCAAATGAACCCTAGATGCATCCCAGTTAGATGGTTTAATAAATTTCTGGTCACACACTGCATGGTCATGATAGGCTCATTTTCCCTCTCAGCAGTTTATCTAGTATGTTCACTCAATCTAAGAAAATGTTAAAATACTCAAAGCTGTTTTGTGGAATTGCTTATTAATATGACTCATGAAGCCTGTTCCCTTCTTGATCGTGGGGTGAAATACTAAGCCAAATGGTGTGGGACCAAAAATTATTTCCATGGAAGAAAAGACTAGAGAATCTTTAATTCTATAGCAGCTCAGTGGTCTTGGCCTTCCTCAATAGCTCATGACAACAAGAGAAAATACAACTGGGATTATTGGGCTGCTGTTTTGTTGTTGCTGCTATTATTGAAGATGTGATGGCCGAGATTTTCTCGGACATTTTGTCTCTTGTTATCCTCTATTTGTATGCCAATAAAGGTTTATTATACTAGAGAATCTTTAATTCTATAGCAGCTCAGTGGTCTTGGCCTTCCTCAATAGCTCATGACAACAAGAGAAAATACAACTGGGATTATTGGGCTGCTGTTTTGTTGTTGCTGCTATTATTGAAGATGTGATGGCCGAG